GGGGGGGTTGGCGGGGGGGGAGGAGGAGGAGGAGGAGGAGGAGGAGGAGGAGGAGAATGACTATGGGGTCCTTGGTGCTCTCTGAGCTTGGTGGTTTTTTTGCAGATGTTTCATGACCCAAACTAGGTAACATTATCAGTGCTAGAGGGGAGGGGGGGTTGCAGGGAGGAGGAGGAGGAGGAGGAGATGGAGATGGAGAAGGACTGTGGGGTCCTTGGTGCTCTCTGAGCTTGCTTGTTTCCTTGCAGACATTTCATGACCCAACTAGGTAACATCATCAGTGCTGGTAAAGGGTGCAGTTTGCTCTCAGCTTATATTCTGCTGGCTTGCCCTGTCAGTGTTGGTGGGGATAATGGTCTTGGTGGTTCTTTGGTTGGGCTGTTTGCTATTTTGACTTCTTCGGCAGTTTCTTGACTGGGGTGCCCTTTATTTGATTGCTGGCCTGATGTTAACCTTGGAGTTAACCTACATTGATCTGGGTGCTGATTGGAGAGGTGCCTGGGTCTTTTTTGTTCCCTTTTGGGGCTGGGGGGGAGTGTTGCCTCTTGGGTCATGAAACATCTGCAAGATAGCCACCCAGCTCAGAGAGCATCAAGGACTCCGACTCCTCCTCCATTTTGCAAACTCCACTGCCTTCTAGCACTGATGATGTTACCTAGTTGGGTCATGAAACATCTGCAAGGAAAGATCCAAGCTCAGAGAACACCCACGAGCCCACAGTCCTCCTCCTCCTCCTCTCTGCAAACCCCATCCCCTTCTAGCACTGATGATGTTACCTAGTTGGGTCATGAAATGTCTGCAAAAAAACCCCCAAACTCAGAGAGCATCAAGGGACCCCTCTTTTGAACCCTGAGCTGCAAATATGATTATCTTTTCTTAAAAGTTTAGATATGAATTCTCCTTTCCTTGCAGGGGTCAAGGCAACCAGTAGCTGCTTTGTGGTTCCCATGGCAACAGGCATGAGCCTCACTTTGTGCTTCTTAACCCTTCGGCACAGAAGACCGAAGGCCAGGTACATCGTCTGGCCTCGGATAGATCAGAAATCCTGCTTCAAATCAATGGTGACTGCAGGTACGTCACAGTGGCCACCGCTGCAGCGCCCCCCCCAGGGTCACGTGATCCAAATTCAGAGGCTCGGCAACTGGCATGTACTTATGACGGTTGCAGCGTCCCCCGGGGTCACGTGATCCCCTTTGGCGACCTTCGGACAAGCAAAGTCAACGAGGGGAAGCCAAGTTCACTTAACAACTGGGCTACTAGCTTCACAGTGAAAGCGATTCACTTTACAACCGTAGCAAGAAAGGTTGTAAAATGGAGCAAAACTCAATAACTGTCTCGCTTAGCAACAGAAATTTTGGACTCGGTTGGGGTCGTAAGTGAAGGACTACCTTTATCTTCAAAAACCATGTCAGCTTGCCTGCAGCATCTGTGATATTGCTCATCTTATTTTTTTTTTCTTCGTTTTAAGTATATTTTGTTTTATCATAAAAGGCAATAGACAAAACAGAAAAACGACAAAGCAAAGCGAAAACAGACACTAACAAAAAAAAATGGTGTACAAAAAAAAAAAAAGAGAAAAAAAGGTGATCCAAATACCAAATTTAACATTTAACATATAGAATCCACCCTGCCTGGAGACTGAAAAAAAAGAGAAAAAAAAACATATTAAATTCTCCTCCTCTTATACAAATATATATGGAATATATGTATGTATGCATGTATGTATATTTGTAAAAGAGGAGGAGAATTTAATGTTTTTTCTTTTTTTCTGTGGACGGGGGGGGGGAGAGAGAGAGATACAAAGACAGTTTGAGATAGATAGATAGATAGATAGATAGATAGATAGATAGATAGATAGATAGATAGATAGATAGATATAGATAAATAGATGATAGATAGAGGTAGGTAGGTAGGTAGGTAGGTAGGTAGGTAGGTAGATAGATAGATAGATAGATAGATAGATAGATAGATAGATAGATAGATAGATAGATAGATAGATAAATAGATAAATAGATAAATAGATAAATAGATAAAGATAAATAGATAGAGGGTAGGTAGGTAGGTAGGTAGGTAGGTAGGTAGGTAGGTAGGTAGATAGATAGATAGATAGATAGATAGATAGATAGATAGATAGATAGATAGATAGATAGATAGATAGATAGATAGATAAATAGATAAATAGATAAATAGATAAATAGATAGAGGTAGGTAGGTAGGTAGGTAGATAGATAGATAGATAGATAGATAGATAGATAGATAGATAGATATACTGTTTGATAGAGAGAGAGATACAAAGACAGTTTGATATATAGAGATAGAGAGACAGACAGACAGATAGTTTGATAGATAGAGACAGGTAGGTAGGTAGATAAAAGAGAGAGATACAAAGACAGTTTGAGATGGATGGATGAAGAAAGAGCAGTCAACCGGTTAAGCTAAACATTACACTACTCTTCAAATCCCTCTGTTAACCATCTATTATTGTATTTAGCTCATAGAAAGTCCACAAATGGTTTCCAGTTTCTTATAAAGCTGTCTAGTCCATGATCTCTGACCAAAGCCACTAATTTTGCATTCTCTGCTCATTCAGTCCATTTTAAAATCCCTCATTCTTCAACCGTCGGCATCTCTTTTCCAGCGCTTGGCGAGTACAATCCTCGCAGAAGCCTGCATGTAAAAGGAATCAACACCCCAAACTGTTTTTCGATTGGCTTCTCCATCATACCTGAAAGAAAAGCTTCCAGTTTCATTAATATTTTGTATCTTAACTATTTTCTGCAGTCTCGTTATGTTCATCCAGGACATTTTCACACATTCGCAAGATATATTTGTAAGCTTACATTTCCAAACAGGCTGCCGTCGTACACAAATAGAACCCCCCCTCCTAAAAAAATAACAACCAGTGAAGTGGAAGGGAGGGTTTTGCAGGTAAAAGAACTAAATTGTGGGAGGGTCCTGGATGCCCACTCATTCACTCATTCATTCGTTCGTTCTTTTTGTTGGCCTGGACCAGGTTTTGAGCCAGTGGTGATAGAAAATGTTTTAGAAGGAGACGAGCTACGGACTGATCTCCGGGCAGTCGAAGCTAAAATCCTGGATCTTGGAGCTGATAATATTCTCTGTGTACATTCTACTACCTCCTGCTTTGCTCCAAGGGTGCCTGACAGGTAATAAATCCCCAGGTAAATGTTTGGTGGCATTAAGAGACTGAAGGGGATGGTGAAGCCGCTGGCAATGAGAGAGAGAGAGAGAGAGAGAGAGAGAGAGAGAGAGAGAGAGAGAGAGAGAGAGAGAGAGAGAGAGAGAGAGAGAGATGAGAGAGAGAGAGAGAGATATAGATATAGATATAGATATGATATATACAGATATGATAGATATACAGATATGATAGATAGATAGATAGATAGATAGATAGATAGATAGATAGATAGATAGATAGATATAGATATACAGATATGATAGATATACAGATATGATAGAGAGAGAGAGAGATACAGAGATACAGACAGACATGCCGAGATACAGATATGATAGAAATAGATAGATAGATAGATAGATAGATAGATAGATAGATAGATAGATAGATAGATAGATAGATATAGATATACAGATATGATAGATATACAGATATGATAGAGAGAGAGAGAGATACAGAGATACAGACAGACATGCCGAGATACAGATATGATAGAAATAGATAGATAGATAGATAGATAGATAGATAGATAGATAGAT